ATAAGATAGAGATAAAGAAAAATGTTAAATTATAATAAGAAGAATAATTATTCTTACAAAAAAAATCAACTAAAAATGTTTTTTCAGCTCCTGATTGTTGAGCTTCACAACGAATTCTATATGTACCAAAAGCAATAAATGAAGCAAATTGATATGATAACTCAACATAACCTTTTGAAGAATAAAAATAAATAATTATTAAATTATTTTAATATTAAAAATAAAATAAACCCCATGTTGTTTGTAAATTTAGCCAACGTCTTAAGACATTATTCATTGGACCCTAATATTAAATCTTATAAATTTTTATTTTTTTATTTTTTTATTTTTTTACTTACTATAATATAAACATTAACCGTACTAAAATAACCACGTAAATCTGAATAGACTGGAATACATCGAAAATTAACTATAAATAAATAGAATTTTATTTTTATTTATATTTTTTTTCTTTTATTTTCACCCATTTTTTCATGTCTATACATTGGTTTATCTAATTGTATAAAAATTGAAATAGATTTTACATGAAAAATCACATTTGTTTCATTATAAAATACAACATCACCATCAGGTAGTGTTCCTCGAACATATATTCTATAAGAACCATTTGGTGCATTTTGTGGTACTTGAAATACAATTGCTGTTGGAATTTTTGGTATTAAACTTTCTTCATTTGCTGCTATTTCATCATTTTGATTAAATAATGAAACAGCTACATTTGTTAATGGCCATTGATCATTTAAAATTGTTACCCAAACAGAAACAATATCTGAAGGACGAACTAATTTAGGACCAACAATCATATAATTTCTGAATAAATAAAAGAGATATCATCAAATGATTTCTTTTAAAATAACAAAAAAAGAAAACAGATATATACGATTCAAGTTTACGATGAGCATATGTTGAAAGTATTCGTCGTGGTTCATATAGATGTGATGGTGGTTGAATACCATCAGCAAAAGGAGATTGTCGACGTATACGATTAATTTGTTCTGAATTTGTTAAGATTATACGAAGACTTATATATAATAAAAGATATTTGAACATCTAAATATTTAAAAAAATAAATTATTAATTTGATTAGTATTTGTTTTTTCTTTTCACTTTGATCTAGATTTTATAATATGTATATATATATACATATATAATATTAGAATTACCAGTCACTTAACTTTGATGAAAGATGAGTGGGTACACAATAATTATATTGGAGCATGTAAAAGTTCTTATCTCGATAATCATTGCATTCTATATAAGAACAAAAAAAAAGAAAAAGAAATTGTCTATTATGTGATTGATTTATGTTTGCAAAGATAAAAAGACTTTCTTTATATGATCAATATAACTAACAGTCAGTGTAGAAGAAAAATCAATGAGCATCACTTATCAGGAAATTTTATTGTTGATTATTCTTTCTTTCATATTAAAGACAAAAGAAATAAAAAAAAGTAAGTTTTTGTTTATGATTCGCTTTGCAACTGAAAAAAAAATCTTTATGATTCTTAAACCTACGTTGTGTAAAAGCTAGACAATAAAAAACAAATAGTTCTTCAATGATGGTAGTTATAGAAACAAATTGATACAAAATTGAATACATATCTAGCATGACTTTCACTATAAAGAATATTTATTTTCAAATAAATAATCATTACGGATATCTTTTATTTTCTTTATACTTATAAGTGTATAAATATGTTCGTGCAAAGAGAAACAGAAAGAGAAGAGTGTATAAGGATTAGAATATTGTCAAGAATGACGAACAACATATCACGTACAACTACAATATTGTATATTAGAAGGCTATACGAATCAATTGATTATTTACTTTTGTTATTCATTTAATATTAATCATTGTTCATAAATCAGAATTTTTCTTTTGAAACAAAGTGTACCGATTATCTGACATGATAAAACAGAATTAATAAAAAACAGATGTACGCATATCAATAGAAGTATTCAATATGTTTTATTCACCATCTTTTTCTTTCTGTTCAATTATTGCATCTAGTGCAAACTCATATGTTATGTGTAAATGACTTTAAAATGATATATTTATATTAGAATAATGATCAATTCTTTTTTTTTGGCCATACTTATTAGATTGATGTGCTGAAAAATACATAATCAAAATCATTAAAATTAGTGATTTTAAATTTTTTTATTCAAGACTCTCGTCCTTTAATCCATCGGACTATTCGAATGTAAGATAAATGCATGAAAGGATAGGTTGAGGTTAGATCTTCCAGAAATGTGCTTTTTTTTCAGAAAAATGAAAAATATTGTTAATGCACTTCTATAAATAGATGACCGAGTTTTTCGAGATACTCAACTTGTCATCTCTTTCCTTCACATGAAAAGTAAGAATTTAAAAAAAGACGCTGTAGTCTGATATGTTCTTTCAAATAAAAGAAAAATTAAATATATTGAATGAAATGCTACAGAGAATTTTGAGTCATCGAATAAACTATACTGAATCATTGTCTAATGACTATCTTTCGAAAATATCATGGTATAGAACTGAAAACTTCATACAATTTGAAGAAAAGAAGCGTTAAGGAGATCACTTTTTACAGAGTTTCTGAAGAGCAGCTCAACAGAAGTATTTGAAACTTTCACGGTAGATAGATCTCGGTAATTAGCGCAAAAGCTATGATGAACTTCAAAATTTCAAATGCTTCCTTCTAGAAGATATCTGTATCATAAAGGCTCAAAATCGATCTGCTTTCTCAGCCATAATATGTCCGATAGAGCTGAAAGTTTTGTTTTTATAGATATGAAACATCGCTTGAGATATCTACGTTTTTTGTAATTTCTTTTTATATCCTTCCATTTGGATAAAAAAATCGAAATACTAAGCATACCTCCAAAAATTAACGATGCAATATTTTTCAAAATAGAAACCAGTAGTTCTCCCCCCAAACTGTGTCCAGTGCCTGCAAAAATAAGTTTTAAATCGGTCGAACATTCTATGTCAAAGTAATGAGGGTGATTCTGCACTTTTTTCATGTAAAAATTGATCTCGAGAAAAAACGAAAAATAAATTTTCCTATATATTTCAGGAATTTTTTTCTTCAACTAAAATGATTGAAAATTGGCCATGTTCAGCTGTGTTAAAGGTTCTATGATCCATGTTCTCAATACCTTTAGAATGACAAATAATCATTGCCATTAGAAGAATTTAGCATACAAAGAATAATCGCAGAATGAGTTTTTCTGCTAAAAATTTCAAGAGTGGGATTTAATAAATGTACTAATCAACAACGAAGGTTTCTCATTTATATAGCATTTGACGTAGAATATTTCGAAGTTATATTAATAATGAAAAACCAAAAATCGAAAAAATTTTGATTTTAGCATAAGGAAATGGGAAAGGGTCCTCTTAATTTATTTGACGTTTACAGGTCACAGATGTATCCTATATGAATAATGAGAAGGAACAAATAAAAAGAAAAAGTTGGTCTCCTATATGCTTCTCTGATATATATACCAATCGATAAAGAACAACAGATTCCTTCTTTTATCCATATTGTCGTTCTCAGTACATTGCACAATAAATAGAGAAAGAACACAAAAGAAAAAAAAAGAATAGAAGATAATAGTTATCCAAGGCTTCAATACATGTAGAATATTATCATTTGTCGTTTACTGTCATAAGATGAAACTACCAATATTTCTTCTTATTATTTTCCTTCGTTATGTACTTGGTATTGTAAATATTATCATCGGTATTCAACAGCCATGTGAATCTATTGTCGATTGCCTTTCATCTAATGATTCAAATACTGTTTGTTATGAGGGTTATTGTGTACCATGTCGTAATTCAAGTGAATCATGTACAAGTTCATCGCATTGTTGTGGTTCTTCACGTTGTTTTCGTCATCGATGTACAGCACTTTATAAAACTGGACAATCGTGTCGTCTTAATCGACAATGTCTTGATCCTAATGATTTTTGTATTAATCGAATATGTACACGATGTATACAACTTTGGGCATCATGTTCATCAGATCCGTTAGCAACACCTTGTTGTGTAGGTAATGGTATATGTCGATCTGGTAAATGTCAACCAGCACGTATACATTCACAAGCTTGTTCAAGTTCATTTGATTGTGCTGATGAACTTGTTTGTCTTTCTGGTACATGTCAAAATCCTTTAGGACACTGTTAAAAACAAGACATAAAAATGACACATTATTTTTGGTAGTGTATCTTTTCTTTTTTAATTATTGTAAAACAAGTAATGAATACAATATGAAATTATGTAGATAGAATTTATGTTTTATTTTACATGAATTGTACAAGAGAAATAATATGTGAATAAAAAAAAACATTGTTCTTGTTTTTAGAGTAATTGAAAATTTTACACGATGTAACTAAGTGAAATGTAAATATTTTATAATTAATATTTTAAAAATTGTTTAACAGTATTTAATTTTAAGTAAAATTAGACACGTATAGAATTTTGAAGAAATTGTTAATCAATCTTCTTGATCTATTCTTTCTAGGTTCTTGTTTCTCTTGATCGATTAGTCAAGATTCTGTTCAATAGAAAAGAAACAGGACTCTTACTTGAAATTCGATGTAAAAAAAAAGATTATTGTCTGATTGATCAAGAAAATAAGAATCGGAAAAGAATATTAAGATATCTTGTTGTTCAAACAGCACCACAAGTAGACACAAATCAATATTCTTGCTTCTATTCTTTCCAGACTTGGTTTTGTTGTCTTAATGCATCGAAGAAGATTCTTTTTCATCATGAAGTCCAATCAAGATTCTTTCTATCGATAATAAAGCGATAAAAACACTTGCCCAAGTTGACAGATAGATAATCATCTTTTGTTTCTTATCCGTCTAAATAAATGGTTTGCACGTGCTTCTTCACTCACTGCAACATTTAACGAATGAACCGTTGTTATGGTGATTCATCATATATATATGTGCAACTTTGTCTTAGAACTTTTATTCGTTTTTAGAAGTGAATATTCAAACAATCAAAGATGAAAATTGAAGAAGTAAAGGGTACAACGAAAACACAATGTATATCAGCACATAGTCATATTAAAGGGTTAGATTTGGATAATGAACAACGAGCTATATGTTATGCTGGTGGTCTTGCTGGTCAAGAACAAGCACGTGAAGTTGATTCTTTTGTGACATGTTTTTGTATTTTTTTCTTCTTCAAAATCGAATAGTAATTTATTTCATAGGCAGCAGGTATTGTTGTTGAATTAATTCGTCGAAAGAAAATGGCTGGTAGAGCTGTTCTACCTTCTGGACCACCTGGAACAGGAAAAAGTATGTTTTATAGAAAATTTCTCAATATTATGTAGAATAGAAACTTTTCAAATATTCATTTTCTTTGGACTATAGATTTTAATAATCTTTGAAACAATAAATTCTTTCGATTGAGATCTTTATCGTTAGAAATTTTCGACTCTTCTATACGTAGATGACATTAGCTTCATATTCGAGTAAATCCAGCCGACAGTCGCCAAGGAAGCTGTTCCAGCGAGTTCCAGAGTAGAACTCAACGAGTTCTATCCAGTGGTATTCTTGGATTCTGCTAGCTCAGACAATGGTTCGAAAAATTGCGAAATACTATATTTCCATATATGGATTTTGACTCCATATTCGAGTAAAACCAGCCGAGATTCGTCCAGGAAGCTGTTCCAACTGTTCCAGAGTACAACTTCAGAGATGAACGCGCCAGCAAAAAAGTCGCACCGTCACCGCCCCGCCTGTTCAGCGTTGAGACCGCCCACCCCCCCTCCCTTCCCGTCCAAAATATTTTCAAAAACTGTTTCTTGACAAATTTTTCCTTAAACTTTCATAATGACTATTTTATTTCATGAGATGAAAAGGCATATTTTAAATGCATAAACATCATTTCGAAATAGAAACAAAAATAAACATGAAAATGAAAAACAGTTATAATAAAATCACTCATTTTGTGAAACTCACTTATATTTTTGAAGAAAATAGTAAGTGTATGTTTTAAGTTTGAGGTTTGGCGGCTCCCTCTCCCCATCCTATTACAGACACATAGCAACCGAAAAGAGAACATTACAGATATACCCCAATGATAGACATATCTCCCATTACAGACACCCCACCATTACAGACAATCCACCATTACAGACCTCAGCAACCGCGCATAAAAGGCTCTAGTGTTTATATAATATATCAATTATTTCATGCGTATTCGAAAAGAAAGGCATTTTACAATTTAAAAATTAGGCATCAGAATAAAAAACTTTGAAAATATACGTGGGTTCCACATTTTAGCTCCTTTGGAGCTGCACTAGCAAGCATCTTTTTACTGATTAGTTTTGTGTGAACAAGTTTTAAAAATTTTTAAAAGATGTCTCTAAAGATCTGAGTATATTTAAAAAATCAAGGTTATATAAAGGCGGGGAAATCGCGAAATTGCGTCATGCACCGTCACCGCCCCGCCTCGCCGGCGGCTCGTCCATCTCTGATACAGATGTCAATGAACTAATCTTCAGCTTGAAAATGATGTGTGAACTTTGTTCCCTTTTCTTTTGTCTTGTCGATGTCTCTAATGAATAGTGAATAGAAGATTAGTCGGCATCGTCTTCTCAATTCTCCGATTACATAACATTTATTCATATTCTATCACATAAAAAGAAATATATTAAATTAGACAGAATTTTTTTCTCTCTGCGTCTCTCCTTTGCTAATAGAAAATATGCCAGGTCAATCAACAATTCTTATCGTCACTTAATAATAACAAAAAAAAATGTAAATTTTGATTAATTTGTTCCATAAAGGCGAGATGTTGTTATTGCCATTGATGCTATATTTGTTTCTTGTTCGTGTTCGTTTTGTTCTCTCGTCTCTTTTTTTTTGTTGTCCTTTTCTTCAGTCATATCGAAAAAGAGAAAAGAATTGAAATTAAAATGTGGAAAGTTTTAAGAGATGAGTATACAAGAAAAATTATCATTTTTGTCACGAAAAATTTTTTTTAACAAAAAGTAATTTTTATCACGAAGAATAGGGTGTGGGTCTGAGTCTTCTTTGAATAAATACCCACACCCACACCCACACTGTATGAATATGTTCATCGTCAGGATAATTAAGTTGATCTTGTAAGGACTACCATTCTTTCCTTTTTGATCATTTGTAAAATAAGATTGTTCTTCTAGTCGAATATATTCTTGAGATGTTGCATTTTCATCCTTTTCAACAGAACAAGCAAAATCAATTGTAAAAATTAGGTTTAATTTGATTACTTCTCCTTCTGTAATTGTTACTAATCCTTCATCAAGTGCTCGTTCATCTGGCGGTGTTAATAGTTTAATCAACTCCTTGTTTGTTTTCCCGTGGTTCATTATCATGTGTACGATCCAATTAACTTTACCCTTTGACATTGTAATCGAACATGTAGGACATAATATTAGATCGCCGTCATCTATCAGACGAATACAATAAATAAGATTCCTGTTTTTAGAAAAAGAACAAAACTCTATATATAGATGAGTTGTTGCTGTTATTTTTCAAAATTTTCTTCACTTTATTGTAGTTTCAAAAGATACGAAAGAATCATTTGACCAACTTGTCGAACTTCACCTAATTTTTTGAGAAGATCAAATGGAAACGATGCCATTTAATGGACTAATTAATTCTCTATTCAACTATGTCACGATGAGAAACTTCGAAAGTTTTGTAGAAATGTTCAAAATTAAAAAAAAACTACTCAAATCAACGTAATCTATTCTTATATATTGCATCTTCTTGTTTTAAGTAGGAATCGACAAGTATATAGAAAAAGTATAAAATTTAGAAAACTCTAGTAGAATTTAAAAAGATAATTTGAGATTTGTGTCGAAAAAGTATTCTTATCGAAGTTTTCTCTCTATTCTTTATTGATCATATCCACTTAGATGTTATAAGACAAGAATCAAATCAATAAAAACTTACAATCCGTTGGTGGTACAAAATTATCCAAACGTCACATAAATTCGGAATTTCCAGATGACATTTCTATGAATAAGTAAAAGAAATGAAAAAGAAATTTCTCATTAAAAGTAAAAATTGGGGAAAAAATCTTCTTCTTTTTTACTCCCCTCAGAATAGAAGCCCAGTGGACTTCTATTTTGTTTTGAAAGTTATAAGTTTTGGCATGGGCTTCTATTGTGATCAAGTTTTTTTATGTTACGATTAAAATTGAACTATTTTACAAGTGTAGAAAGTCTTAAAAACTTAGACATCAGAATTTTCAAGTTGTTGGACACCTTCGCAGTGACTATCATAGTTTTCTAGTAACTAAGAATTGATTACCAGTTGTTTCCAAGCTCCATCTTATCAAATGGATAAATTAATACGTTCTTGATACTACATTTCCCATTTAGATGTTGATCTACCCTCAGCATTTCATAGATCTTGTTATGGACAAGAACAACTTCTTTTAACATAATATGCTGATGTGAGAAATTGACGAGCTTTCAAGAAATTTAAAAGAGGTTTCTATATGAGACATATAGCGATATACAGTTCCATTGAACAACTTCATCGTGGAAGCTGGTGTACAGTTCAATTACGAAGCAAGATATATTTTAATTATCGTGGCAGTTATATGAAGTAAACCTTGTCTACCTAATAAGAGTCTCCCTTTTTTTTGAGAGATCGATAGTTGACGTCTCGTGAATGTTATATTAATTCGCAACGTATCACTATACATTGAGATTTGCTTTTAAATTTCATGATCTCTGGCGTAATTGGCATCAATCATAGTTTAGCTTTTTGAGGTTTTATTTTTCAGTTAAAGATTTGTTCATATTGTTGTGAAGTTAATAAAAATTTTTATCATTTTTTTTTCTGAATGGCGTATAAACCCATAAAAGTATAAAATTTAATGGAATGATATTATTCCACACGAACTTACTATTCAATAACTTCTAGACAATTATGTTTTATTAATATATATCCGCACGGATGTTTCAACATTTGATAGATGCTCATTTCTCTATTGATAGAAAACGCATAAAATACAAAGGAAATTAGGCACATAAACTGAGCTACAATTAAACAATGAGAAGTGTTGAGCTAATTTATCAAAACTTTTTAAAATTATCTATTTTGTTCTCATTTCGGACGGGGTGAGTTTCTAATATGTCTGTGAAGTTATAACCTTGCGATTGGGCTTCTATTCTGTGGGGGAGGGGTGGTTATCTGAAAAAGCAATGTTACGACTCTTTTTTTTTCAGGCAACTCATTTAAATAAATATTAACAAGTAAACGTGTTATTTAACGAAGACTATTTTAAAATATAAGAACAACATAAAACTCATTGATTCATTTTATTATTTTAGATTTAATTATTCATAGAAAAGTGTTTGTATTTTTTCTGTAGAAACGAAATGAGAAGTTTTTGTTTTTTTAACATTTGAAATATGAAATAAAAATATTTATTATTATATTTATACAATGCCTCATCATCATTAGTCAACTATTTTACGAGTTAATAATGCACATTGTTAAGATTGTCGCGACACTCGTTTAAATATTTAGCATATAAATAAATAAATCGAAGGAAGAACTTGTACGTTCACAATGTCTGATGTCCAACATAACCGCGTGTAATGAATCATTGAATGAGAAATTCGAAATTTCATTGATTAGTCTTTGTTTTTTTTCTTTTAGATATAATCCATATATATATATATATATAGTTCTTATTCCTAAATAGATTTAATTAATCTTTTAAATAATGTTTGCCTTTGTACAACGTATACTCGATTGGTTTAAAAGTTTATTTTGGAAAGAAGAAATGGAATTAACACTTGTTGGTTTACAAAATTCAGGAAAAACAACTTTTGTTAATTTAATTGCTTCCGGTCAATATTCTGAAGATATGATACCAACTGTAGGTTTTAATATGAGAAAAATTACAAAAGGAAATGTCACTATTAAAGTAAATAAATTCGATATTTTTATTAAAAATTTATTATGTTTTTGTTTTTTCGTATTGTATTTTTTCTATAGATTTGGGATATTGGTATGTAACAACTAAATTAATTTTTGTTTAATATTTTTAAATAAATAATTTTCTTTGAATAGGTGGTCAACCTCGTTTTCGTAGTATGTGGGAACGTTATTGTCGTGGTGTAAATGCTATTGTGTATGTATATGAAATATTTATTATTCATATTGAGTTTTATTTTGGCAATTTAGATTTATGGTTGATGCAGCTGATCATGAAAAACTTGATGCAGCTAAACAAGAATTTAGTAATTTACTTGAAAAACCTCAACTTCAAGGTATTCCTGTACTTGTACTTGGTAATAAACGTGATTTACCAAATGCACTTGAAGTTCAAGAACTTATTCAACGATTGTAAGTTTTTTAATTCATAGATATAAAATAAATTATCGAAATTTTTTAATAATAGGGATCTTTCACCAATAAAAGATCGTGAAATTTGTTGCTATTCTATATCATGTAAAGAAAAAGAAAATATTGGTAAATAAATAAAAAGAAAAATAATATGAAGATTAATGTTTTTTTTTTCTTATATAGATATAACACTTCAATGGCTTATTCAACATTCAAAATCGAATAGTCGTTCATAAATATTTACAGTCAATAATTTATTTTAAAAACTTTATCTTTGCAACGATAATAACTTCTATTATTATTATAATTTTTTTGTTCTTCGTTCCATAAAAAAAAAGCCCAGAAATAAATAATTCATTTCTATTTTATTTGTATAAAACAAACTTTGCGCTGCATTTTTGTCTTCTTTTTTCATTGTTGTCTGTGTTGTTATTTATGTATTTTATTTTTTTGATTATTATTATTGATTACGAAGGAACACAAAAGAGAATCATATATATATATATAATATTGTATTCAGTTCACAATAATTTCTTTTTAAGATGAGTACTCAACAAAATCAGAATGGTAATAAAAAAGCTGATGAAAATAAAGACAAAACGACGACGACGACAACAACAACAACTGGAAAAGATGAAACAACAATGAAAGATAAAAAATTAGATATAACAAGTTTAGAAGAAGATGATGAATTTGAAGAATTTCCAGTTGAAGAATGGTCACAAGACGATTTAGATACGGAAGATAAACGTTTATGGGAAGAACATTGGGATGATGATGTTGCTGAAACACCATTAATTGAACAACTTAAACAAGAACTTAATAAACATGGTTTACTTAAAACATCAGCAACAACTACTAAATAATTTTCAATGAACTAGGATTTTTCATTTGGTTGTTGACTGTTTTTTTTTTCTTACAAAGCAAAAAATAAAAAAAAAACAACTTTTATTCAAGAATTTAACTAAAATTGATCTTATTAATTTCTAAACAAGTCAAATAAAAAATGTTTTATTCTTTTTTTAGATCATAGATCTCATTTTTTTAAAAATTCTGATAGAATTTGTATGAAATGCTAAAGCTAAAAATAAAACAAAACATAACATTGATTATCAGATCATACGTGGCATATTGGTTTTGAACTAACATTGCTTGTTAAGATTAAAGTTTATGCGTAATAACACAGTAGAATTAGTCTGGTAGCTTAGGCTTTGGCTGTAATGAACGTGAAGGAATTATGAGACTATTGAGTACATGAAGTACTCAATAAAAAAGAAATTTTTTTTTTGTACATTTATTACATCGATATTTGAAATCGTCAACTTCAAAATATTAGCGTTCAATACTCTTCATTTTGAAAGTTAGTCAATATCGGTTTTTTATCACTATCATATCCATATGAGAAAAAGCAATCTGTAAAAGTCGTACTCATTTCGATTCTTTTTTATAAAAAATAGAGAATTAAAAACTGAACAAAATGACTTATTTGAATATAATATAGTGTTAATCAACTCAAGTTTTATAAAGCCAATATGCAGAAACAATGACTTTTTTCGCAGGATCTAAAATGTCCATTTGATAACAATTTATCTCCTATCAAGATTCAGAATCACAGAGTTCCAAGCTGAATTTTACATATGTTATGTAACTTTTTCTTCTTTATAAAATGATAGAAAAATACTGAAAAATAAATAATACCCTCGGAACAAAATGAGAATCACATTTCTCTCTTACGTGATGATTTCTCAATAGAAAAAAAAACCAAGACATTTTTTGTGTTTTTCATTGCCATGGCATAATTGTAAAGCGAAATAAATGCAGCATTTAAAATCAATGTTAAAAAATATATTGAATCAAGTCTATTTGAGAAAAATCTTTTTCTGCAAAAAACTGACCCTTGAAGAACAACGATTGAATTTTTCACAGGAAAAAATTTTCTAAAATAGTCTTGATTCAGTATATTTTTTGACGTTGATTTCGAATGTCGTATTTATTTCACTTTACAATTCTGTCATGGAAATGAAAACTGCTAAAAATGTTTTTTTTATCTATTGAAAAATCATCAAAACTATTATGTAATAGAGAGATGTGAATCCTGATTCGTCCCGAAGATACCATTTATTTTTGAATATTTTGGTTTTAACCATTTTGTAAAGAATAAAAAGTTGTATAACATATAATAAAATTCAGCTTGGAATTCGTTGATTCTGAGTTCCGGTAGGAGATAGATTGCTATGAAGTGAAAATCTTAGACTCATCAAAAGAATCATTTTTCATTCATGTTGACCTTATAAAACTTGAGTCAATTAACATTGTATTATATCACAAAAGATCATTTTGTTTAGTTTTTAATTCTCTATCGTTTATTAAAATATTTGAATGATTCGTTGAAACGAGCACGACTATTACAGATTGTTTTTTCTAATATGGATATGATAGTAGTAAAAAGTCAATATTGGCTAACTTTTGAAAGAAGGAGTATTGAACGCTAAAATTTCCGGAGTGATGATTCCAAATATCAATACACTGAACGCACAGGAAAAAGAAAATTCTTTTCGATCAAATACCTCGTATTCTCGATGATCTTATAATTGTTCTCTTAAGTACATATAATTAACTTTGATTCCATCTATATGATGTTCTATATCAGTCAAGGTCATCATATACAGGCACGGTCCTATATGAACTCGGAATTCTTTTATACTGATATGGGATTCATGGATATTCTATTAGAGATAAATCAAAGTGATGATTAAATATATATATTTGAGATCAAACTAGATTCGATCAGTTACTTTTGTTTTGCTTTTTTTAGATAAATATGACCATACGTTTTAACGTTCTAGCCGGTTCTGAAAGTGGAATTGTGAAAGGTATTGATACAACAAACAATGGTATCTATGTAATTCATAAACCAGCTGAAACTTATATCGATGCTGTTGCCCTTCTCGAATGGTCATTAGCAAATAATGAGATTGATTATATGCAGGTAAAACGAAAAGAATAATCTAGCATGATTTTCGTTTTTCTTTTTTCTAATAATTTGATATCTTTACTAGGCATTTATTGCAACGAAGAAAAACAATATTTTACGATTAAAGTTTGCTGATGAATCAATTCAACAGATTGGTACAATTAATCGTTCAAGTCCACTTAGAGGTCTAGCTTATCTAGATGAAGATAGGTTTGTATTATAATCTCATTATTTTCGTGATATATTCTTCGTTTAATTTTAGATTTGTTACATGTTCTGAAAATGGTGTTCTATCCATTGATCGTATCACAAAAGAATCTCTTGTGTCTGAAGTTAGATAGAAATTTTCTTTATTTTTTCTTCTTGATGAATCAAATCTTTTTTATTAGATTGAAGCAAATGCTGGTCCAGATATAAGTCGATTACGTATTAATCCATTTAATCGAACATTTCTTGGTACGGGTGGTAAAGAAAATGATTTAAAAATATGGTCAATAGCAGAATTAATGAAAAATGAGAAAACAAAAAATAAATCAGTTATCTTTCAAGCAAAAAATGTAAGACATTAATAATGATATGAATAATTTTTTTAAATTTATTTATTTTTAGGTACGACCAAATACTGTTCGATTACGAATGCCAGTTTGGGTAACAGATTTTCAATTTATTGATGAACGAAATCGATGTCTTGTAGTAACTGGACATCATCAAGTTAGATTTTGTTTTTATATGTAAAACAATTAAATTTATTTCATTCTTATAGATTCGTCTTTATGATCCACAATCAAATGCACGTCGACCTGTTAATGAAATTGAATTTGAACAATATCCAATAATGTCTATTGCATTACTCCATTCGTCTAATAATGAGTTTGTATACTAAACATTCATTTTATGAAACACAATTTAAAAGGACTATTGAAGTATAGGAATAAAAAATTTGAACTCTACTCCCATATAGATCATGACAGAGGCTAATCAGAGACCATTACAGATACCTTAGCAATACTACTCTCCCTCTCCGCGTCACAGATCGTATATCAATAGTGTCTTGTTATACTATATATAAACTACTTCCTTATTGCATTTTAATCCTACACGGAAACAGCTTTTGTTTTTTTTAATGAACTTTATTTTTGTTTTTCTTAGACATTTTATTGTTGGTAATACTCAAGGTGAAATGGCTCAATTTGATATTAAACGTTTATCATCATCAGCTATCGTACATAAATATAAAGGTGTTATTGGTAGTATACGTTCGATTGATACACATCCAACATTACCATTAATAGCATCAGCTTCTATTGATCAATATGTTCGTATACATAATGCAGATACATATCAACAAGTATCAAAAGTAATTTTTAATATTGTTATATTTTCTTTGAACGAAAAAAAAAATATTGATTTTTAAGTTTTATTTAAAATCTCGTCTTACATCTGTACTTTTTTCACCACATTCAATATCAAATCGAGAAGAACAACAAGAAAAAAATGTTGAAACAATCAATAAAGAAATTGAAAATGATGAAGTATGGTCACAATTTAAAAGAAAATTAACAAAAGAATCATCTGATAAGTTCGTATTCATTTAAAATACTGATATAAATATTAATATTTGATAATATTTTTAGATCTTCATCAAAAGTCAATTCGAAGAAAAGAAAGAAAAATGACCGTTTTGAATGAATTAATAAAAAAAAATTAAATAAATGAAAACCGTTGTTAAAATTGTTGTGTATTCTTTTTCTTATTTTAAGATAAAGATGTTTTCATTATTAAAGAGATTTTCTTTTGTTTTTAATCATTTTCATAATCTATATGCTTATTCTTCTACATTTTCACATATTACATCTGATGGAAATATTACTATGGTTGATATAGGTCATAAAGCTAGTAGTCCACGTCGAGCAATTGCTGAAGCTATTGTTAAATTTCCTAATTCTGATACATATCAATCCTATTTTAATGTAACAACTAAAAAAGGTGATGCACGATTATGTTCTAAAATAGCTGGAATTCTTGCAGCTAAAGTTAGTTATTTTTGTTTTTCAATAGAACATTTTGAACAAAGAATTTTATTTTTTTCTAGCGTACATCAGATTTAATTCCACTTTGTCATCAACTTCCACTTTCACATATTGATATTGAATATGAACATCGTCATGAAGAGAATGAAGTTCTTGTTCGTTGTATTTGTTCAACAAATTATCAAACTGGTGTTGAAATGGAAGCTATTGTTGGTGCTACTATTGCTGCTGTTACTATTTATGATATGTAAGTATTAAACATTTAACGAAGAAAATAATGAATTATTAGTTAATTCTTTTTTTTACTTTTGTGTGTATTCAGGTGTAAAGCTTTAAGTAAATCTATTGAAATTCGAAATATTCGTCTTATTGAAAAAATTGGCGGAAAATCATCTATTCCATTAAAATAAATCTATAATGAATTTATTTTCTAGATTATTTTAAATATGTCTAACGATATTGATTATCGTTCAGTAACATGTCAAGCTTCACCAAATATTGCACTTATTAAATATTGGGGTAAACGTAATGAAGAATTAATTTTACCTGATAATGATTCACTTAGTATAACACTTGATCTTAATGATATGCATTCATATACAACTGTTTCGACATCATCATCTATGATATGTGATACATTTTATTTTGATGATATTCAACAAACAAAACTTTCTGAACGTATGAAAAAAGTTCTTCAAGAAGTTCGTCGTAGAGCAAAAGATAATAAAATAAAATTTGTTGAAATTCGTTCACATAATTCATTTCCAGCGTCAAGTGGTCTCGCTTCAAGTGCATCAGCATATGCAAGTTTAGCTATTGCTTTAACAAATTTATTTCAACTTGATAATCCTCAATCAACAGCTGCTTATTTAGCACGAATTGGTAGTGGTTCAGCTATACGAAGTATTTATGGTGGTTTTGTTCGATGGTCAAGTGAAAATGAATGTCTTTCATCATGTATTTATCCAGCTGAACATTGGTCAGAACTTCGAATTATAATTTTAATATTTAATTCAAGTAAAAAACCAGTTTCATCAACAGATGCTATGCAACGTACAAGAGAAACATCAACATTATTTCAAGCACGTCTTTCAACAATAAATGATAAAATAAATAAATTAATAGAAGCAATTAAAATAAAAGATTTTAATACATTTGCAAAGATTACTATGATGGATAGTAGTCAATTTCATGCTGTTTGTATGGATACTTACCCACCAGTTATTTATCTTAATGATCAATCAAAACATTTAATTGATCTTGTTCATGTTTATAATCAAATGGATGGAAATCAAATAATAAAAGTTGCTTATACATTTGATGCTGGACCAAATCCATTTTGTTTTATTCGACAAGAACATGTTGATGAATTTTTGAGTTTATTGAAATATTTTTATCCAACTATGAATGATGATGTTCATAAACATGTGTCCAATGTTAATGAAAAATTTTCTTCAATTAATTTACCAATTATGTCTAATGTTCTTGAACGAATTGTTCTAACAAAAATTGGTACTGGCCCAAAAATAATTTCATAAGATATTTTTGTATTTTATGATTAGATAAAAATTGTTTTTGTTGATTAAATGATAATTTTTTGGTTGATGAGTTTATTCGTAAATTTTTAATTGTTAATTTTCTTTCGTTTTTTTTTTCTAGATATTGTCTTTTATCAACATTATGATATTTAATAATCATCTATTTCTTATTTATATTTTCTTATTCTTTATATCATTGTATAATGCTAATACATTAACCTTTACAGTAAATATGTATATTCTTTCATTCATAGATCATTTTATTATTTTTTTCTTGAAATAGATATCATCAGATTTTGATTTATCATGGGATAATTGCGGACCTAGTGAAGATCCAGTTCAATTGAAGAGCCTTGATATTAGTCCTGATCCAATTAGAGTACCAGGTAAATTTATAAATATTATACTAATTGTCAAAAGTTCCGCTATTTGGTAAAGAGTATATAAAGTTAAATGTGCCGATCATAAAAATAGCAATAAAGACTTAATAGTCCTCTATGTGAAGGAATTAGAAAGTCAGCATAGATCTTTTATTTCAATTCAAAATACTTCAGCATTAGCAATACATTTCACAGTGTTCAACTTCTGATTAAAGACTTCAATGCTGCCTCTATCATCGCTAAAAATTTCGTATCAAACGATTGTAGTTTGCCTGATTGTTGAAGTTCTCTATGGGTATTCTTTGGATGAGAATTAGTGGAATTCGTCAATAAGTGATTTTTCATACTGACTATTTGCCTTCAAATTTTCTCTAGTGAATTCTCTGCTCTAATCAAATATTCTCTGAAAAGTTCATGGTTATAGCTGTTAATGAAAACATCGCTGCAGCTCAGGTAGAGTTATCAGATCCAAAACTTTCGGACCGTACTTTGATGCTCTCAATGAAATTTTCTAATCGGAACTAGATAGTCACACCGAAGATACGAAATACTTTTTCCTAGCTCTTCGTGTTCGGTGATTGGGGTACTCTACACATTTCTCAGACCAGTAGAATCCATCGGATCCAACATTTTCAGATGTGGTCGGGTTAGAAACGAACCAGCTCAGGATCAAAACAGATTAAAGTTTCGTATCTGTGACAGCGTAAAAAAAGATTTTTTTTAAGTTGCTAGAAAAATCAATGATTTTATTCAAAATCTGATCAGATTTTACCGAGCTCTATTTGTAGTAAAAATATCATACAAAAAGATTTAAATTTAGGAACTTTTTACTTGATAGCGTAACTTTTGACAACTACTATATTATAATCTATGTCATTTATAAGATTTAATTTTACAGGAAATATTACTATTACTGGTTCTGTTGATGTAACATCTCAAATTCCAACAGATGTTCATGTATTTTGAATTCTACTAATTTATTTATCTAGTATATCTACTTTTTAAATTTTCTTATTCTAGGCAGTAGTTTTTATGCAACGTAAAGTTGGACCATTTTTTGTAAAAGTTCCATGTGTTGATAATTTTGGTTCATGTAATTATGATAATGTTTGTGAGCTATGGGCTAAGTTTTGTTCAAAGGTAAATCATTCTTAAATAATATGAAATTTTTTTACATAGATTTTTGTTTTGATTACATTTAAAAAATATCTATCATTATTTTTTGAATTATAGATGCATCTATCACAATATGGTTTACCATGTGAATGTCCTATTCCTGCAGATACATATTCTGTATCAAATGCAAATATATTTGTAAATAAAAATTTACCATCGGAATTATTAGGCGAATATCGAACAACAGTTGATATTGGTTCAAATGAAAACCATATCGCCTGTATTAATATTGATTTAACAATTAAGAAATAATCAAACATTTGCTCCAATATGTTTTCATTCCAGCTTTTATCAAATACTACTTTTTTTTAAAATTTTTATCTTGTTATTGCACTTTTTTATTTAGTATAAAAAAAAAAGAAAAATACAAACGGAATATTATCGAATTGATAATCTAAGTATTTGATCTTCAAATAATGCTAAAAGAAACATAACTGTAATACCAAATAAAAAACCAATATTAACAACGAGAAAATGTTTGAATTTAATTTCTTCATCAGCTAATAATGTTGGCAGCTGAAAAAAAAATGAAAATAATAATAAGTGTTATTTAAATATATATATATTTTTTTTTTAATAAAATCATACTAAATCAGCTAATGCGATATATAGAAACATGCCAATCGTTGCTGCAAATATCCATTGACGAACATTTTCATTATTTGACATAATCGAACCAATAAAAAATCCAATGATAGCCGTTGTTGCCGAAAGAAAATTCCATAATAATGCTCGAGAATGTGAAAAACCAGACTGAAGTAAAACAGCATAATCTCCTAAATCAAAAAAATTCTTTATACTGTCGTATATTTAATACAACAGCACTTAAATCATTTTTCATACAAACAAGAGAAATCTATGAAGCAAACCACCTCTTCGCAATGGAAGTCTTCCGGAGCTTCGAAGTATTCAAAAACATAGGGATGGAGGAAAGATATTAATACAACTTGGGTATGGTTGATACCAAAGAGAAGTCTCATTAGAGTCCATCAGGTTGATTTTAGATCCGGACCCAACGGACTCCAAGACTCGGACGTCCACACTAACACCATATCATGATATTGCGAGCAGAAGAAATATGAATATGTTAAGTTGTAATTATTTTTAAGTATCTCTTACCAGACAAAGTGATGGCTACAGAATACATAGTGACTATGATCTCAGATATCGACAAAAAATGAAAATGATTGCTAGAGATTATTCTTAATCAATAGTATTTGATGTCTGAAGAAATACTTTTTTTATACATAGATGACACTTTAAAACAAGATTAATTTATTAGCATTTGCGAAGCTTTGCTCGAAAAACTGGAATTGTCTGAACACAATAGAAACCTTGGAGCATCTAATATATGAGTGTCTTCTATTTGGGAGAGTGGTTTATTTTAATAGAAGAAATAGATTCGAAATTAATATTTCATTTGTTTTCTTATTGATGTTTTCAAAAACTATTAAATTTCTTGATTACTTACCAAGTTCATGTGGTAATTCATGACAAGCAACAGCAATTGTTGTTGTAATACCTAACATTAAATCTTCACTAAATGCGGCACCAATAGCTAGACCATCAGCAAAATTATGTATACTATCACCAAACAACACTATCCAACCAGTAGATTTCATTGCTATAAAAATAAAAAAAACAACAACAAATTATTACTATTCTAATAATAAAACTTTTGATTAGAGGATGTGTGGGACTAAAAAGTAAAACTTTACCAGGACCGAAACTCAAGTTTATAGTAAAATATTCTATAATTCTAAGTGAATGAATCAGAATATAATTTAAGAGAGACAACCCAAAAACGTATTAGTCATCGACTAAATCAATTAAAAGAACGAATATTAAAAAATTATTTTAGATATGATACGAATAAATTCTGAAATAGATTTTTTCTAGATCAGGACTAAAAATTTGCTCTCGCACATCTCTACTTTTGATTTATCGTTTTAATTTACTTTTTAATTGTTTTACAATTGGATGAATATAATCTATTTCATCACTAAATTGTGATGTATACATATTTTGTGATAGTGATATTTGTTCATTTTGTTCATTTGATGATTTTTCTTTTAAATTATATTCAATAAATGGATTTGTTGTAAGATGATGTTCATTTGAATAAATACATGGTATACAAGATGAACTTGTATTGTTAAAAAAACTTTTTGCATTTGAATATATTGATGGTGAATTTAAATGTTGATGTAAACTATGATGTGTATGATTATGATGTAGATGACTATGTTCTATATCAGCATCAATATCAACTTGTGTATAATGAGTATGTTCGTTAGGTTTATTCATATGTGAATGAGCTGAAGTCTATAGAGATTCATTTTATAAGAAATTATTTTTAAAAAAAAACACATCTTACATGATCATGTTTATAATGAGCAAACCAATGAAGAAATACTTCTAATAAGTAAAATATGTAAAGAACTAAAAAGAAAAATATATATATATATATGTTAAACACATAAGAATATAGTCTTTCTTTTGGAAAACATACTGAATACAGCTAATAACATTTTCCATTGATAATTCGGAATCAAAAATGATGAATGATTATGATAATAATCATTCAAATTGTGATTATGACGATAAAAGATCTATGATATCAAATATACACAGAATTTTTCTATTGTTTCATATAAAAACAAGAAAACATACAAATGGAATTAAATGGAACATTGTATCACCTAAAAGTGTTCCAACAGCAATAGCAGTAAATAAATTAAGTATATATTTAAAAGACACTTTATAAAGAATTGGAAGAGTTAATACACCAACTAATGAAAGAGCTGATACAACGAATATAGCAATAAAACCATACACATATCCTAAAAAAAACATTTTGAAAGTTCGATTGAATATCGAAAGAAAAAGATTTGAATAACAATACGTTGAACAACAGTCGGTGTTTTATATTTTACGGAAGAGTTCACCGTGTGATGATCACATGATTTTTCGAGAAGTTGCTTAACAAAATGTTCACGACATTGTTCTACTAATTCGATGTCATTAAATAATTTTGAAAGAACACTTATATTTGTATCATTCGATGAACAAAGTGTATAAGTAGTATTAGATAGAAAACACTATTAATATCAATGAATAAAATAATGGTACATATTATATGTCGAACAATTCAAACTTACCGATGCATTATTATTGCTAACAAACGATATCAAGAGTAAAAAGATAAAACAAACAACAAACAAAAACTGCATATCTATAATACAGTAAAAGAGAAATTTAAATCGTATCGTTATAAAGATATTATATATGACTGATGTAAATTCCCCATTACATTCGAACTATATCAATTATAGAAATTTTTTCACATCGTCCACATACATTAAATACAGATGTACAAAATCATAAATAAATCTTTAGAGATATTTTGACTGACGATAAATATCTGTAAGAAATAATTTACATTCTTCCAAGAGAAAAGATTAAAATCCGATGATAGGTAAAAACAGAATATTTTTTCTACTAATACGTGTTTCTTATTAAATATTTGTGTTAATGTATGTATTGCTTGTGGAATACTTTTTTTGTCTATATGGAATACAGAAGTCGAATCATGAAAACAAAAAAAAAAACTGATAAAATTGTATTTGGTATATATACTGAAGGTTGCTTATTTGTTGGCTAAAGTATAAAAGATAGAAATACTACAACAAAATAATAGAATAAAGAGTTTTAATAAAGACACGAAAACATCACTAATTACCTCTTCTTTTTTTAGACTTTCATTTCATTATAGTGAGCAATTATTTGACCTTGTCATTATTGATAGGATAAATTTTATTAGAAAAAGAATAGAGTTTCACTCAAAATATCTCCTTTATGAGTATGATCCTATATAACTCTCATGAATGAAAACAGAATCAAGCACAAGTTTAAGTTGGTTGGTCATCAAAAGTTCAAAAAATATAGAAAAATAGTATAGACACAATGATTCGTAACTTCGAAAGCTATCGCAACACGTTTTTGTGAACTATCTCTTGAAAATCAGTATCTCATATAGTATTGTAGTTAACTGTGTTATTCAATTGGACAGCTCAATGATATCTTCTCGATCTGCCTCATTCACTATTGTCTTTCACCTTCGTTCTGGAGATGCTGCTAAGTATTTGTAAATGAATATTATTCATTACATTACTATCTATGGTCCATAAAGTTTTTAATAATGTACTCTTAGTTGTAAATGATACATGAAAATTATATGAAATGAAAACCATGGTTGATGCTGCTAAATTTTACTTGTTTTTCTTTTCTATTGTAACTACAAAGTTGCATATTAAATATGTGTCTCGAATTATATATTTTTACTCGAGTATAGTAAGAAAGCATGAAAAATTTTGAAATGTAATAAATATTCATTGCTTTTCCAACGTTTTTCACGGGAAGAAATCAATTCTTATTGTGTTCCCAAGTCTTTTTTAGGAAAAACAATTGTTACTCCTTTGCTTGTTGGTGCGCCGCCTATGTTTTTATTAATATTATTTTTTCTACTCTTCTCTCTTGAAAACGTATGTCTTCTAAGATATTTTGAATCTTTATTTTTCAATTTACTTTATGGTCATATTAATTCACCACCAGTCTTTGATTCATTCGGTACAATAATTTTCTGCAAAAAAAAAACTAACAATCAACATTAGTACCAAAACTAACAAAAATAATATTTTGTTCAAGTGCACAACATTACAAAAAATTATCATTCGTCCGTCATCAACAAAAAAAGCGGATGAAAACTATTTGCTAATATGTTATGTCAATAAGGCGCAAGCATTTATTTTCTTTTCAATAAATATCTTTAACACTAATCTCATTATTCATCGTTATCTATAGCTAAGTTGTTGATTAGTTTTCATTTAATACTCGCATAATAGTTTTTATATGTCATTATTCATATATTAATACAATCAGTTTTAATCAATTATCGTTAAGTATCCACTTGATGATTCATCATCAGCTTAATCACAAATATCTAATTAAGAAATAAAATTAGAAAAGTAAACGATGAAGAGTTTCATCTTCCTACATACATGGCTCAGAATTGTTTCGTCATTAAATTCATTCATTGCAATGAATATAATACAAAGTTCAACATGATATGATTTGAATAATGTTCCATTGAGAGTTGCCTTTTTTGATATTGAACAATTAATTAAAATATATATAATTCTATCTTCAACTTCGTTTTGCATTGAATACAGATATGTGACTATAAGACTTTT